TAGAAATGCAAATTTAAACCACAAGGAGATACCCCTACATAACTACTAGAATGACTATAATCAAAATAACGGTCAATATCGTGTTGGCAAGGGTATGGAGAGACCAGAAGCCTTATACATTACTGAGAGAAAACAGTTCAGCAATTTCTGAAAAAGTTAAACATAAACATAATCCAATCAGCAAGTCCGCTCCTACATATCTTCCCAAAAGAAATGAAAACATATATCCATGTAAACACGTGTACATGAATGTTTAGAGCGGCATTATTCATAACAGCCAAAAACTGGAAACAATCTAAATGTCCATAATTTGATGAATGGATAAAGAAAAATGTCTAATATCAATACAATGAATACTCTTCACCGATAAAAATGAATGAATTACTGGAATATCTACAATACAAATTATATCTAAAATTTATGCTAATTGAAAGAATCCAAATACAAAAGACTACATATTGGAGCATTCAATTAATATAAAATTTTCCAAAAAATCTACAGGTGAATCTATAATACGGGAAGCAGCTGAGTGGTTGCCCGGGAACTGACAGCAAACAGGTAGGAAAGAACCATTGGGGATGAAGAAAAATTTCTTAAACTGGATTGTGGAGAGTTTTATAGCTTTTTAAATTTACTAAATATCATTGAATTGTAGACTTATAATGGATTCATTTTGTGGCACACAAATTATACTTCAATAAAATTGTCTTAAAACAAGATGATTTAGTATTTTCCTTCTCCCCAAACCTCTCACTTTCTCCTAGGTTGCATTCTTCTTCCTCAGTTAGTATATCAACATTTTGGAGGAGTTGTGCATGACCTACTGCCTCAAACAGTCCTACACTGGAATTCATTGAAAAGTATTGATGTCCCATTAGGGTCACTGTGAGCCACCTTTTGTGTTCTCTGCTGAAACACCTGCTGATCCACAGGCCTTCGCTCACATGGTTGACACTGACATCTTTGGAGAGCAATCTTTCAATTGGTAATTCTCTTACAGATTTTTCCTGATGAACATCCTTCAATAAGTCACATGCATGCCCATTTTTGTTTTAGACTCTGCTTCTAGGAAACCTGACCTCTCACCCCTGAAACGCCATGCATCATACCCTATTTACCGACCCTCTTCCACTGTTGGGTGGGATGCATCTGTAACCTTTCCCTACACAGAGTTCCCGACTGGACATGCCTCTCTGCAATTTCTACCCTGCTGTTGCTGTGCCATGTTGATGTGGAATAATTTTCTATGACCCTTGCTGTCTTCCCAAGCTTCACTCAAGGAGTGGAACAAAGACTCACTCCCCTCTCAATCCCAGAATCCCATGAGTGGAATATGAGGAGGGGTGCATTCTAATCTAAATACAGACAATCCTATCTCTAACCCTTGATTATTCTCCAAAAATCTTACCTTGGTCTGGGGAACCAACTTTTCTTCTCAAATCTTACTCTTTAAAAGCCAAATGTGTAACATGTTTGTTCCTTAGTTTGGCTGAAATATTTCTCTAATGAGACGGTAATAAGCCTAAACTGATGGGAAGAGAGACAGTCTGGGACAACAAAGAAAGTACGGGATTTGAAAAACACCTTGATTAATATCAAAATATCACCCTACTCTATATGACCGTGTGTAACATACAAATATATTGTATATAATTTATAGACATATGGATGCATTACTATTACCCTTTTTAGTCTTATCTCAGCCTCCATGAAGTCTAATAATTAAAATTTAGTGACATATTGAGAAAATTCCCATGATTCTTAGAGGTTCTTCAAATGGATACATTTACTGATTGTCAATTTACTGAGCTGACAATATTTTTAATGGTATTACATTTTTATTTCCTAACAATGAAATTCAACAAATAGGCATTATCATTCTCTTTCTTCTAGTACTTCTAAAGTACTGTGGAGATTATTATACAGAATAATTTATTGAGATAACATAATGTAATGAAAACTGCAGAGGCTTTGAAGGCAGATAAAAATCTGTGTCTCAATCCTAGCTGTTCAGCATCTTGCCAACAGCAAAAAACACTTCTCCTTTGACGCTTGAAGCGTCAGTTATTGACGTAAATGGGGAGAGGTTGTTTTGAAAATTAAATGTGATAAATATATATGGAAGCCCAATATAAAACATAAAACACTTTAAACGTGTTAATGCAGTGACTTTATAAGGATCCACTGGGTTCATGGAAGGAATGAGGGCCAAATTTCAAGGCTGAAACAGTAAGAGACAGAGAGAGCCAGAGGCACACAGAGAGACAGAGAGAGAGACAGAGACAGAGAGAGTTTCATTCTCCCAGCTTTATTCCAAAAAAGAAGGAAAAGAAAAGATAGTGACAAGAGAAAGGGAATCACATCCTTTGTTTCTTTTTCTCCCCTTTTTTTTAACGATTTCACATTCTCTTGATGGGCTGAGTTGTTAGAGAAATTGGATCCTGAATTACAAGTGAGCAAAGTCAGAGGCAGAAGCTGTGCATTAAATAAAAGACCTGGGAGAGGCTGGATAGTGTGATGTGTCAACTTGGTGGGGCCACAGCATGCCAAGATCCCTGGTCCAACCTTCGGGATGTGTCTGTGAAGCTGTTTTTCAATGAGATTAACATTTAAATTAGTAGCTTGAGTAAAGCAGATTGCTCTCCCTGATGTAGGTGGGCCTCATGCCATCATTTGGAGGTTCCAATAGGACAAGAGGCTCAGTAAAAAGGAACTTCTTTGGCCTGAATGCTTGAGCTGGGACACTGGCTCTCCGGTTCCCGCTTGCCAATGCAGATCCTAGGATTTCTCGCCATAACAGTCAGATGAGACAATTTTTTTTATGATACATATATATACACACAATAGGATATATCTATGTGCACACACACACATATATATATATATACACATATCGGATATACATATATATCCTATTGGTCTGTTTCTTTGGAGAATCTTGACAAATACAGTAATACAGACAGTGAAGAATACAGATGCTAACAGTTACACAGCAGTGTATGTGAGTGTGTGTGAGGCAATGTGGCACAGCAGAAGGTACGGATGAGACTGAGTTCTGCCTCTGTCCTTTACCAGCTGCTGGGAAAACTTGTTGCTAAGATGTGATCCTAGTAGTAACATTTGGGAAGAATGGAAGAAAGAGGTCAGCTGAGGCCACGGGAACGCATCTCAGCTCCAGTTTCCTTATAGACAAACAGCAGCAGTGCTGGGAGAATTGGAGAGAATGTGTGTGAAGGGCCAGCACATAGTAGGTACTAAATGAATTGTGCCTCTAATTATCTTAATGTATAAAAAAGAAAATGTTTTCTACCATGCCAGCCAAAATAAACGAGATGAGATACTTAGGAAAAAAAACATGGTGATTTTCACAGTTTTCAGCTTTCATATGCCATCTGTAGGCATAATCATTTTTGCACTTTTATTGTTGTTACTAAACTTTAAATTGTCTTGTGCTAAGAGGGCTCACAAACGATGAGAATGAAGAAAGATGTGGCATCCAAAACAATGGATTTCTTCTGGTGCATCTAACACAATCCTGCCAAGCTATGTGAGAAACTCCTAAAATAATAACCTGCATTCCCACTACTGTGGAAATGAAAATATTGTTGTCATTGTCACAACTATTATCATTATCCCAATTTTCCGAACCTTATACCAGACCAATTAATTCCTCAGGTGATGTAGTGCTATGAGTTCCATGTCTGTACAGCTCTACCTGGAGGAGCCATGAGCACTTTGAGCTTAGTTCTTGTCCAAACTGAACTCATGGCCTTTCTCCCCACAGCAGCTGCCTGCCCGGCTGTCCTATCTGGCTTAGCTCTGACACCATTCCCTCAGTTTCCCAAGCTCAAAACCTCAGGTTCATCATATACTCATCCATCTCTCTAGCTCTTCCCTTCTCAGATAGAGTCAATAACCTATTCTTGGCTATCACACCTGCTAAGAGTCTTCTGAATCCCTTCTCTCTACTTCTTGCCAGCTGCAACGGCCTTATTTCAAGGCCTGAGAAATGCACTTTCCACTGTCGACATTTAAAGATGTCTCAGGTTAATGATTCTTTTCCAAAACAGTGCTGTTTTAAAAAATTTAAAGCTTGAGAGACAGCCCATAATATGAAAGACTTTGGGATACTCAGATAACAAGGCACTCCCTCTGTTTTAGGGTAAATGTAGAATAGCCTCAATTAAATTTTTCTTATAAGGTATTTAGTCACTCCTTCTACCAGACTCCCTTTGACTTTGCGCTTATCTTTATTTTGACATTCATTACATTCCACTTTAAATATTTATCCTGGGCACTATCCTATACACGCTAAGAGACAACCGTCATGTCTTATTCCCCTATGAGTCAGCTCAAACACCTGGAATGATGTAGAAACCATGACAATTTCTGTTTCAAATGGCAACTGAAGATTTTGCCTTATATAAAAGCAACAGATGTGAGAGAAACAGCAATGCAATAGCTCTCATGTCAGGAAAATATATATATGCCACTAATCAAAGTTCTGGGCTTGAAGGCAGTGTTTGATTGAAGACAATCCCAGAGAATAAGCAGAGAAAATACTTGCCAGAGTAGACTAGAAGTCACCTGGTCAGAAAAATGAAAGGGGTGATTATGTCCTCACACACATCGCCAAACAGTGGTTACTGAAATAGTTATGAAAAATTCTGGGGCCGGCCCAGTGGCGCAGCGGTTAAGTTCACACGCTCTGCTTCTCAGCTGCCCGGCATTCGCCGGTTCGGATCCCGGGTGTGGACATGGCACCGCTTGGCACGCCATGCTGTGGTAGGCGTCCCACATATAAAGTAGAGGAAGATGGGCACGGATGTTAGCTCAGGGCCAGGCTTCCTCAGCAAAAAGAGGAGGACTGGCAGTAGTTAGCTCAGGGCTAATCTTCCTCAAAAAAAAAAAACAAAAAGAAAGAAGGAAAAATTCTACCTCTAGAGATACCTTTAAAAGTCTCATTGTAGCAAAAATGCAAAAGGGGAGAAATGATCTCCTCACCTTACAATCAGTCTCAGAAATCTAGAGGGAACCTGGAGCAGGTGCTGTGGGCACTCTGTTCCTAGGTACCAGCATTCACACTTTAGCACACACTAGCTGGACTGGCAGCTTCCAACACCTGCACGTTTTGCCTGCAGGCTTGCGCAAACTAACAAAGTCTGCTTGGCCCCCAGTGCAGCATTCTGGCTGTGTTTGGGAATTAACTTCCCCAGCAGTAGCCTATAACCAGTTAATGAAAGGAATTGGTGCACAAATGCCCTGGCAACCTTATTCCTCAGGTAGAACAACTTTGAGGTGAATGCTCTGCACTGACTTTCAGGGTTTCCCCAGTAGGATTAAGCTCTCGTGGACCACAGCGGGAGGTGCCTTGATAATGTTCACTTCGTTGGCTGCCTTTCTTTTGTTGTCTCACTTCCCCATTCTTCTACCACTGTTTTCTTCCCTTCCCAAATAAACTACTTGAGCATGAATCCGTCTCAAGATCTGTTTCTGAAGCAAATAAAACCAAGACTCTAACCATCCCTTCCACCAAAAAAAGGACTGATGGATAAATCAGAAATAGTGTAAACTCTATGATAAATTAACGTTTGAATTCAATTCAGCAAGCAACTATTGAGCACCTACTGTTTCAGGAGCTACGTAAAGATTGATAAACCCTGATCTGAAAGAAATCACTAATTTCAAAAGTAGACAATTGCTGATTGTTTTTTAAGTGCATTAATCAGTACATTCAGAAATAGCTATTAAGTCCAGAATAGGAAGCATCTAAACCCTATCAGTGTGGAAGTGTGATGTAATGGAAGACATGCCAAAAGAGGAAACACTTGATCTAGTTTTTTCAGGCAGAAGTAGAAAGGGGAGTATTGGATAAAGGGAACGTTATGCACAGAATAGCATGGTACAGTCTTTCCCATTACAAGGATTTGGAGAAGACCTCAGAAAGCCTGGATGATATTGCAGTGAAGAGCAAGTCCACTGAAACCAGACTGTCTAGATTCAAATCCTAGCTCTTCTACTATATTGTCTGTGTGACCCTAGGCAAATCAATTAATCTCTCTATGCCTCAACTCAGTCATCTATAAAGTGAAGGTGGCTATATTGTACCTCTTTTTATTTACTTTTTTGTCATTTACAAAATTTAATATAGGTAAAGGTTTAGAACAGTAACTGGCATATATAAAGTGCTGAATAAATGATAATTGTGATTTATTATCACAGCTGGTTAAATCACAGGGAAAGGAATAAGAGATAAAGCTGGGAAAGCAGACAGGAGACAAATCATGTAGGGTCTTACATTCCACGCTAAGGAACTCGTTCTTCATTTTTGAGGTCAAGGGTCAGCAAACTATGGGTGACCCACTGGCCAAATTCAGCCTACCACCTGCTTTTAAAAAAGTCCCAATAAAGTTTTATTGGAACACAACTATACTCACTAATTTGGATATTGTCTATGACTACTTTCATGCTATAATGGCATAGTTTAGTTGCTGTGACATACCTTATGGCCCCCAAAGTAAAAAATATTTACTATTAGGCTTTTTACAGAAAAAAATTTTCAATCCCAGCTACAGATGGAAGGGAATGGCATGCAGAGGAAAGACTAAGTTCTATGGAATAAAAATCTGCAGGCTGAGTTACATGGTCATTCCACAGGTCAAGATTAAATTCGATGAAGTTCATAAAGCTAGATTTCATAGCCCCTAAAAAGGAAGAGTTTGGTGAATACAAAGGGTAGAAAAAAGCTTTCAAACTTGTAGTCTACAACCCATGTCCAGTCTAGAGATGAATTTTATTTATTCCATATTGTTTAGACATTTTAAATTTGTTGTCAATACTTAAAATAGAGAGATATCACTAATAAAACCTGAATTACTGGCTTCTTTTAAAAAATCGGAAGATCTGGCAAACGTTTGTTTGCTTATGGGCTTGAACGGCAGAAGCTTCTTTAGCTCCAAGGCAACTACTATATTTACATGAGGCATGTGCCTTCCAATATGTCACATCTTCTACTTCCTATTGTACTGAGTGGGTGAGTTTCACTGATGTCACAAGTGAGTCCTCTAGGACTCAAGAGCGCCACATTCTGCCACTTATGGACCCGAGGGCAGAAAGTATGGGAGAAGGAGCAGTTTTCTTTCAAAACAGATAGAAACAGTGGCCTTGAGGGAGACCCAGACTTCTGTTAAGAACCTGTGAGGGACGAGTATCACATGAAGAAGCTGAGGTATGATATCAATTTATTTATAAAAGAGTGGAGGTTTACCATGACAGAAAAGAAAAATGTTTAGGAGCAATGGCATGAACAGTCGAGAGAGAGCATGCCCGCAGCAGAATAAAGATACCCGAATAAACAAGGACTGGTAATCAGAAATGTTGCCTTGTGGTTGATGTATGAGGCTGACTAGGATGAGAGCCAGAGGGAAGTGACTGGCTTCCAGGACCCACCTCTCCAATAGAGTTGCCATGGTGGTAGAACCAGGTTTGGATAGGCTAGGGTTAGTGTCGGTTTAAATTTTGTCTTCACAGATGCTGCCTACAAGTCTGTTCAAGTTAATTAGAACTGTCCTTAGGCTAAATCAGGGTTGTGGTGTTGGTCTCTGTCAGGAGAGCCCCAGGGAGAAGTGCACAATTGGTTCCGTTAAACAACGTCTGCAGTGGCTTGGAACTCTAAGGTCATATATTTCTAATATCTTTAGAAACAGAGGAGGAAAAAGTCATCTGAGACTACAACTGCCTTAAAAGGAAGCTGTAATCTCAGAATTCTTCTCTTATTTTCTGCTTCATAAGGAATGCATCCCCCTTTTGTTCACAGAGCACCTTAATGGGCTTTGTATATGGAAAAGCATTGTCCCCAAGTACCTGGGAATGAAGGTTTTTTCCCCCCTGCATGTTGATCCTTCCTCTATTTTTCTTTTAATTTTTCCTTGATTTTATGCCCTTTATTTCAGGAGTAACTTATCTATTAAAAAAGAAAATAAGGAATATAGTGAAAGGGAAAATGTCATTAAAACCCTCAGCCTTTTCAGTATCTAGTATTATCTTTTTCCCTGCAATAAAGAGAAACATTTCTTTGGTCTTATAATGGAATGTTCACAACTATTATTCAGTGTTTATCCTAGAAAATCCCATCAAGTTATATTTTTATTCCATTAACTGTCAGGAATAGCCATGAGGGAATGCCAACTCTCAGACAATCCACCCAGACACTGAAGAAGACAAATCAACCTTGAAAAAGAAGAAAACGTGAAGGCTTTGAACAACTTGATAGGCAAAATCCTTACAATACAAGCTTGAGATGAAAAGACATTTTAATGTCTGCATTCTTGGCTGAAGATGATTCTTTATTCAAAATGAAATATGGTACACTTCAGAAAGAAAACTGAAGCTGCACAGGGCGCAGATACCAAGAGTGATGAAGTTTGGTGAATAAATTCATTTAAATTTCTTCTCTAAGGAATTATCAATGGGGTTGGGAATGGAGAGGGAACAGGCAGTATTCAAAGAAATGGTTATAAAAAAATAAAAATTAAAACAATCGTAACCCTTTCTTATTAAAAGAAAGATTATAAAATATTGCATATAGTGATATTTCTTTTCTATGCAAAGATTCATTGTGATCTACACCCTGGGAGAAAAGTCTACTTGGAAATAGATAAGTAAGAATTATGGAGGACTTTTCAGAAGTTGTGCACAAGACTCTCTTTAGTGTTTTATAAAGCTGATTTCCCACAAAGTTTTAAGCAAAGATGAGACAGGAAATCCAAGTCCCTAATGACCTCTCTTTTGACCCACAAATACAAGAAGAAGAGAAAACACAAATTGCTGCTCAAAGTTAAATCATAAGAGCTCAAATTTCTGTTACAATTAGAAGTTCTTTACTTAATGGAAAAAAAGAAAGCTGGAGGTCATATTTAATCTTCTTCAAGCCTAAGGAGCCTAGGGATATAGAGATTGGTGTTTTTCTTGTTTTCTTTCTTCTTTTTTTTTTAAACGACCTAAAGACTCGTGATCTTTTAAAATAATAATGTATATGTCTCTCCTCATTCTTTTCTAGGCATAGAAAAAATGCCCAACTGGTAAAGAGTTGATGCAATTCTTCCTTTCTTCATATGTTTGAGGAAAGAAATCTTCCTCATGATACAAAATGTATCTATGTCATGCAGGTCAAATTAAAAATTATGTATGTTCTGTGTGTGCTACTGTCCTCTTAAATATGAGAAATTCAAGAGATCAAAACCACCACTTATTTTCTCCACTAGACACAGAGGTCAAGATCCAATGGTGTGTCACAATCTGTTGTGAGCTCCGTTGCAAGTAATTTGTTACTATTAATAGTTCAAAGTTTGCAAATGATTTACTTTGGTTCGTAAGTTAGAGAGAAGTCAAGGTTATCTTGAAGGGGCACTGGCACTCAGCTGCATTCTGATCTCCCCTGCGCAGGAGAGAAGGGGAGGATGCTAGTGAGCCCATGTCACCCACTGTTCTCTTCAGAGGTAAAAAGACTGCAACCACTTCATCAGACTGAGGGCAGAGAGCAAAATACCCCACAGATATTGAAAGCAAGGAGCGATCTGAAAATTAAACTAGGAAATCAGTGCAAGATCGTGTTATCAGAGACACGTAAAGTCATTCTTCAGAGTAAGGTGTGTGGGGCCAAGCACTGGGAGATTCCAGGCACCTCTCTTGTGGGGATAGCTCATCAGGCCCAAAGCCAGGAAATACTTGAACCTGCGCAGTGTTCCTTGCTCTGAATGGCATGCTCACAAAGTGCCTTTCTGAGTCTTATGCGGTTCTATATCATTTTTTGTTCTTCAAAGAGGGCAAGTATCCAAGACTTTTGGCATTTATATTTTTATTATAAATCAATAAATTAGCACTCTGATCTTATGACCAAATGAAATGTATTGACACTGTTTTGTTTCAGATCCTATGCTGGGCACTGGTTTGCAAGATATTTAAGAAAGAGTTTTCTTCTCAAGGAATTTCCCTTGTGAAGTTAGTTAATGTAATTTGTTCCTGAAAGGTTAAGAGACTCTCTCTATGTGCTCAGAAAACCATAGTTATGAGCCTGCAAAATCCAAGAACAGACTGGCCTGTGGTGAGCCGCTCAAATGAAAGCATCTTATGAGGCCTCATGAAGACCAAACAGCTGATCTCAACTGAAAAGAATCCCCCATCACAATTCTCTTCGTGTGTATACAAAGTTTCAGTCACCACAGAAAGTCACTGTCACTGAGCTAAGAGTCAGACGATCCAGTCTACTCCACTGCTTTAATGATCGTAAATAAGTTAACATGTTTGAGACTCAGTTTTCTTACCCATAAAATGAGGTTTCATTCTTCCTGCTGCTCCACACGGGTATCGTGAGGATGGCATGGGCGGGCAGAAGCAGGGAGCCAAACCCTATTCAGCAACTACTGTGTGCCAGGCACCGTGTTAGGCGATTTCCCCAGGCTGTCTCCCTTAACCCTCACTTTGGGCATTATTGCCTTAAAAGCTGACTTTCTCTAGTCCACATCATGTAGTTGCAGGGGGAGGGATTAATAACCCTATCTGCCTGCCTTCAGGGTCCTTGTCCTCCACCACCTCATCCTACCTCCATCACACCTGAGACAATACCTCTAAAACCATCTTGAAAATTGGAAGCTAGTCCACTGGTATGATCCAAGTCTCTGGTCTAAGAGTGAAAGTGTCCCCTAACTTGCTCTGTTCCTTTGCTCATGGCAGTTTTTCCACGTGGAAGGTTATTTTCATTTTCTGTAACTAATTCTTACCCATTCCTCAAGGTAATTATCTTTCTCCAGACAACAGTGATCTTCCCTTGCTATAAAATCTGAGATATCTACACTATTTTACTGTATCACACATTAAATATGTAGTATTTTTAGGTATTATTTCACATGTATCTTGTTTCTGCAAGTAGACTGAAACTTCTTTTGGGTAAAAGCAAGCTTTGGTTCTCCGCAAAGACTCAAGCACCATGCAGTTACAAACTTAGGTTTTCACATATGTTTTATATTGATATACTAAAAATGTATTATAAAACCAAGACTGAAAGGTGGTTACTAAAATAGGTAATCTCATTTATTTGCAAAATAAATTTAAACATTTATCCCATTTATGTTGTAGGAAAGACACATCTGTCTTTTAGAATCTTTTTCTCAGTTTAAAACCTATAATATAAAGAAAATAAAGAGTAAGTTATTGTCTGGATATAACAACTGTTACTTTTTGTGTATATAATATCTTTTTTTATGTGGCTATATTTATAAAGCTTGAATTTAAAAAAACCCTTGAATGACAAGGAATTCTTTTTTGTTATATGCTTTTTTACTTACAACCTATAGAGAACAAACTCCAAATTATACACTTTCTCACTGCACCATTTTAATATGAAACTGTACCATCTGTTTATGAATTTCCTTAATGCTTATTAATTTGTTTCATGTTTATTTTTGTCAGTTCACTGATGGAACTGTCATTCCTACAGGTGATTTTCATGTTTACTTTAAGTGCCACTCGAAAACTTCCTGCTCGGTTACCACTGCTTTCTGACAAGGGGAGGGCTCCATTTCCTTTTCTAAAGAATTAAGGCATTTCTTCCTCTGTAAACTTTACGTCAAGTTGAAAAATACAGATTCTTCCCATCCTCATTCTTACACAAAACTCTTCCTTTAGGAGACATCATCACAGCATACATGTATATAACACAAATATTGCAAATGCTGTTTCCCACTTTCCTAATATATCTATCTAAAAATCACTCTAAGGATAAACTATATGTTTCCAGAAACACTGTTCAAAGCTTATAGCTATAGTCATGCACTGCAATGACAATGTTTCAGTCAATGACGGACTGCATTTCCATGATGGTCCCATAAGGTCATCACCACGTAGCCTGGGTGTGTAGTAGGCTGCACCATCCAGGTTTGTGTAAGTGCACTCTATGAGGTTCACACAGCAGCAAAATCACCTAATGACACATTTCTCAGAATGTATGCTCATTGGTAAGCGACATATGACTATAGCTTGGTTTTTCCTTGACTCAACCAGATTGCAGGTCTGTGTATCTGCATTTCTGATTAATTTTTTAACAACTCATTCACAGAACAAATATTTGCAGATTACCCCAGGTGTGCCAGGTCCTGCTCTAGGTGCTTGGGATGCACAGCCAAGCAGTCAGAAATCTCTCCTCTCCTGGAATTTGTGCTCTAGCAGGGGCATATAAGGAATAACGATGCTGAAAGCTATGCCACTGGCATTTCAAATGCCAGCAGGGTCACCCATACTGGACAGGTTTCCGTGAGGCTTCCAGACCAGGACAGACTAGGAAGCAGCAGCTGGTCACTCATTTCCAAAAAATTGGCCCTGAAAACCCTATGAACAGCAGCAAAGCATTGCCTGATACAGTGTTGGACGGTGAGAGGATGGCACAAAAGACCAGGCAGGATTCCACTCTGCTCTGCGCAGGGCTGCGAGGAGTCAGGAATCCACCCGAGGGCACTAACGACGACCAACAGAATTCTACACAGAAAGTACCTTTGAGCCAACTTTGGAAGGTATTGCTTCCTGGACTTCTAGGATCCAGAGAGGTTATCGGGAAGACCAGGGACCTGCAGAACCTAGAACATTCAGCCTTCTGCATCTCTTGGTTACAGTCTATCAATATATTTTTACTGTTATCAATATATTTTTCTGTTTTCTGTTTTCCAAAATTGTGTTGCAATTATTTTGCAATGATGTCTCCTTTCGTTTTCCTTGATAGAGTTTACTCATCATCCCCAGTAGAATCTTGGGAAGAAAAGGCAATAAAGAAATGTGTCAACTCACCATCCCTCTCTCTAAAGCCCAGTATTTAACTGCTGTGCTTCTGCTGAATGCTTCAGAAGCTTCTAGATTTTCACTTTTAAAAATAGACCTTCACAGCTCAATAGACATCATAATTATTTCTTTAGGTTAAATCAAAAGTCACATTCTTTGATGATAGGGTTTACAAAATTTCTAACGCGTTCCGTAGCTATTTCCTAGGGTGTTCACTTCCTGTCGCTGCATAACAACTCACCACAATCTCAGCGGCTTCTCTCAGTTTCCAGCGTCAGGAGTCTCAACGCGGTCGTCTGCTCAGGAGCGCACGAGGCGGCCATTCAGGTGTCGTTCAGGTCCGCGTTGCAGTCTGACGCTTGGGATCCTCTTCTGAGCCAACATGATGGCCAGCGGAGTGCGCTTCCTCGAAGCTGTGGAACTCGCGGGGGCGTCCGACGCCAGCGCGCGGGCCGACGGGAGACTGGGCGTCAGACCCCAGCGCGCGGGCCGACGGGACATGGGGCGTCCGACCCCAGCGCGCGAGCAGACGGAGACTGGGCGTCCGACGCCAGCGCGCGGGCAGATGGGACATGGGGCGTCGGACGCCAGCGCGCGGGCAGACGGGACAAGGGGCGTCCGACCCCAGCGCGGGCCGACGGGAGACTGGGCGTCCGACGCCAGCGCGCGGGCAGATGGGAGACTGGGCGTCCGACCCCAGCGCGCCTGCCAACGGGACACGGTGCGTCCGACCCCTCGGATCCCAGCGCGCGGGCAGATGGGAGACGGGCGTCCGACCCCAGCGCGCCGGCCAACGGGACACGGTGCGTCCGACCCCTCGGATCCCAGCGCGCGGGCCGACGGGAGACTGGGCGTCAGACCCCAGCGCGCGAGCAGACGGGAAATGGGCGTCCGACCCCAGCGCGCGGGCCGACGGGACATGGGGCGTCCGACCCCAGCGCGGGCCGACGGGAGACTGGGCGTCCGACGCCAGCGCGCGGGCCGACGGGAGACTGGGCGTCCGACCCCAGCGCGGGCCGAGGCCCCTGCAGACTGACCGGGACCCTCGCCTGCGCCGCGCGGTGATGTAGTCACGAGGGTGACAGGCGTCACGTTCCCAGGTCCTTCCTGCTCTGCAGACTAGGGGACCGTACCGGACATGGACGCCTGCAGGAGGAGAAGAGGGAGTGGGTGGCCTTCGGGGTCCCCTCACAATCCGGCCCGCCGCGACGTTACCGTGAGAACAGTCTGTGTATGGCAAACATGTTCCAGCTCAAGACTCATTTTAATTGACTGCATTAAAATTCAAACAAGTATGAGAACTGTTTGCTCACAGCACGCTGATTCTCACTGTTCCCCCGTGGAATCCGTGTGTTGTTGCTCACGGAAGGAACGTTGCCGGACCTCTGCTCACCGTGGCTTTTCAACGACCCTGTTTAATATTCAAATGAATCACCAGCCGTTTTTCCTAAACTGGAGGGAAACACCATCGCGTTGTTCCTGGATTTTTATGAAAAATGTCACTAGACATTAGTCTTTCTCCAGGCCTTGTGCTGGCCGCGAGCATCGGGGTCACACGAGGAGGTAAACCGCCGTCCGCGGTCCTGGGGGCGTCGGCCTGCGAGGAAGTGACGAGGACGTGGAGTGTCCGGGGAGCAAAGAATTCCCGAGACGGCTGTGTGAACGTGAAACCGGTGGAAGCGCTCCCAGAGGAGAAAGGTGATGACCTTCGCCGCGTGAAAAGTAGGTCCCTCAGTTTGTCAGAATGAAAAACGCCGATCAAAACGGTGTATAGAAAGACACGTGGTAAATACAGATACAGATGCACACTCACACTCCACACACAGACGAATAAAAACCCAAAAGCGTCAATGGGAAAATTTCTAAAGGATGTGGATCCAAAATTTAAAGAAAAACACAATTGGCCAATAAATACTCCAAAAGTGATTCTCTCTAGCAATTCTCTCTCTCTAGTGATTCTATCTATCTACACAGAAAGAAAATATTTTCACTTTTCAAAATAGTGAATTTTTAAAAATCTTATCAGTAAGTGCTGGCGATGGTGTGACAAGCTAGCTGCTCCCGGACGTTCTGTGGAAGAATAGATCAGGCAACCTTTTCTGTAAGGAATTTGTTGATATTGAGGAGGATGAAAGAGCTTCATACTTTGATCCTGTAATTCCACATGTGAAAAAACTGGAAGGAACTGAAGATTTTAACAATAAAGAAATCTTTCAGTAAATGATATAGTATACTGTCGTTAAAAATCATGTTTTCTAACATTTTTGCGATACAGGAAAATACATGGATATGTTAAGTTAAAGAAGATCACGACAAAATTGATCACTTCTAAGTAAACAATGTACGTTGAAAAAACTTGAAGAGAAATACACTAAAAATTTTAGCCATAATGATCTCAAACACGTAACTATGTAGTTTTTACTTTCTTATTGACAGTATTCTCTGTTAAAAAATTCCTAAAACAATAGTCGTAGGCCCATAAGTTGCAAAGTTGCTGAACACAACAGGAAAACTTAGTGTCTTTCAGGTCTACGAAAGAAATCAAGGCCCTACGACTTCAAAAATGTTGCTGGAAAGCAGCAAGTGAGCGCGAAATCCACTTATGTTTGAGGACATGATGGTTGAAGACAGGGATGAGGGTGGCTCATGGCGACATGGTTGATGAGAAAGCCACCAACAGTGGAGCCCAGGTGGATGAGGATCAAAACCTGGAGAAAACAGCCAGCCAGGACGGCTCGTGTTAGCACAGGCTGATTGATCCTAACAAAAGACAGATCGCATTATCAGAACCATAACACACGTTTTAAATGTCAGTCAAACTCTGATCTTAACAATTGTTCTAGTTTGGAGGGTTGTGGTTTAAAAACAATGTACACAATTATTTATTCTTGAATGTTAAAAAATGTTAAATGTGAAATAAACTGGCATAGGCAATTTACAGGAGAAAGTCTAAGATTAGTTATATGAACTTTTATTTTCTCAAAATTTTGTAGAAAAATTGTGTCAACAAACTTTAAAAAATTTGTTTGAATTTTGATGATTAATGTTTATATTCAAGGATATGAAGGGTTATGATAAAGCTGTTAACAAATTGTTCTTCGTCTAGATAAAAGATTGGATAAAAGAAGAGGAAATAAGCTTAAATCACGGTAAGAGAGTTTTTTTTTTTCCTTTGCTTACTTTTCTCTTGGGGAGGAGCATGGATAAGGAATTAGTGATTAAATCGTTGCATCCAATTGCTTCGAAGTGTATTGTCTTGCCCCCTTGAAGACCTTCAAAATAGTGCATTCAGCAGACTGACCTGCTTTAGGTTTTCACGTTAAGCCTTAAGCCTCTGCCAAGAAACAGAGGAATGGATGCTGTGACCTGTTCCTTTCCCCTGAAATTCCTATGTTAATAGACTACAGCACATTGTGTAAGACAGAGATTAAATAAACAGCATGCAACATTTTAGTTTTGAAAAAGAGTTAATAAATACGGCATTAGAAGGAAGCCAGTTATGTATTGCACTGTTTGCCTTTAATTCCATACCACTTGTCTGCACAGTCAGCCACAGTGGATGGGCAAACGTGCAGGGGGAAATTTGAGAGAAGAGATGTGAGGCTTGTGGGTGGGCCCTGCAATTGCTAAAGCATTAGTGAATGGGATCTTTTTCCTGGGGTAGAAATGCAATTTTGTCAGGAGAAAGAAGGAACTGTTTTCTTTTTTTATGAAGCAGAATTCCTTCCTAATTCTCTGAGCCTTTTACTATAACTGCTGTAGCATGTGTTTTAAATTATATTGTATGCATGTGTTCCCCATAAAATTAGCCATCATGACCCATTGTTCCACAGTCCTTCCTTTCATCACATTTTAGAGGCCTGTGTTCCATATTAGCAAATAACCCTTAGGGAAAATTATGCATTTTCCATACACCAGCTTTGTTACATATTTGATAACACTTATTGTATATTTTGGGATATGGGTCCATATATAAAATTTTTTAAGTAATAAAACAAGTGGCCGATTGTTTCCTCATGGCAAACAAACTAGGAAGTCAAAATGAATATATCCAGCATCAATCTCAAAAAGAATTAACAGCTCCACTTTTAACCCATATGTTCGAGAATATATATTTGTTAACTAGGCTGAGGGCACATTGCCAAGTTTAGAACCCACTCAAATTCCTTGGGTTCTGAGTTTAAAATGAAATTTGAAACTTTCCAGGTTCAAGGTCCTTTTTGGTGCTGTAAAAATATGACTTCCTTGTTGAAAAAACTAAAAGTTTTGGACATCAACTTGCTCACACAAAACAACATGATAAGTGTGAATGAATCAGTAACATATGGATTACATTTTCTTTTTAAAAATCTTAGGATTTTTTAAAACATTTTAAATGGAAAATTCATGGTAAAAACATGCATTGGATTTAGCCAACTCTAAATCATTCGAAAAATATTTGTAAGGCATTTTTCTCTCAATGGATACGTGGCAGAATTTGCAGTCCTAATGTTAACGTAACTACACTCTTCTCCCCGACCCTCCCCCACGATCCTCAAATTAATACACAAGAGAAAACTATTGCTGCTGCATTCTTTCTCTTGTTCTTTTTCTCTCTGACTTTCTTGAGTGTGTCCTGAAAAACTTTGTGTCATTTTTATTGCGATGGCACAGATGTTTTTTGATTAAAAACTATTCTAAATGTAAAGCTCTAGGGAATAGCAGCAAAGGATATGCATTAATGATGAAAAAGAAACATTTGTTTAAAATTCAGAATGGACATCACAAAGATGAGAAGAGTTGTTTTCTTTTCCTCAGTGTACAATCCTTTAATCCATTAATAAAAATTAACCAATAAGGGTATTTTCTCAGAATGACCCCTGAGTACCCAAGAGTGGTAATTAAAAATACAAGCAAATAACAGAATATTGTAATGTCTCAAACCTTACTATATTGTTTGTGTGCATGTGTAAAATACTGTTTTCTGTATTTGCACCTCCTTCTTTGAAATGTTTTCTGTCATCAGTTTCCTAGAATTAGGCTTTGACATCAGAAAATTTTCTAGGCTGTGGTCACTGTGTAATGTCTATCTAAGTTATTAGTATAGAGCAAAAACCAAGGAGACTATTAAAAACCAAGAGGACTATAAGTTCTCATATTTTATGTGCTAGTACAAATTCTGCAACATTACATTACATTTATCTATACAAAGCCTAACTCTCAAGCCATTGATAGTTGAAATTTCCTGGACTGTGGCAGATTAATCCATCAAGGTTGTCTCCCAGCTCTCTAATTACAATTAAAGAATTTAATTACCATGATGGCTTGAATATTATGCTTTTGTCTTATAATCTACTGTGTTTGTTTTCTGCTTCCATAAAAGAATGTCACCCTAGAATCTTTAAGAATGGGGAAAATTTCCTAAAGGATTTAAGATTTAACTCTAATAATGTTGAGTTTCTTTATTCAACATTTAACAAAACTTGTTGAGTATCTACAAAATATCAAATACTTTCCTACATTCTAGGGATATTCAATAGCTATATAAATTTTATGCCATAATTATTCGGATTAGAAAATACTTCTAGGCTATAATTACTGTGATATTCTATTGCATGCTTCCAAAAATTAGTGAGTCAACTTTCAACTCTGCTTTCTCCAGATTTTCTTATTTACCTTTAACGTAATATTAGAGGGACGATCAAGTTTCTTTCCATCCTTCCAAATGAAATTTTACTTAAGTAAAAAGGAAAACAGCATAAATCTATTCCCTTATGTTATAATTATTTGCTAAGATCTAGGTACAGTCTTAAAAGCTGAAAGAAGTAGTATCTTAATAGATGAATTTGGGAGGTTTGATTTCTATTGATCAATTCTTAATCAAGAATAAAGTATCACTCAAATTCAAAATAAGAAGTGCATCTTCAGAATGTCTTATTCCACTACCAATCAAGTTAAGAATGACTCCTGTGTTTTACCCCGGCAACTTTTGTTTCCATATAATTGTGAATCAAGGTGAGTGAAATAATAAAACATTTACAATTGATAAATGTTTCTAATTAACAGGTTGTAATAGCAAACATACAGATGCCTAGATTCATGAATCAACAAATAAAAATAACTTTAGTGCCATTTCCAGTGTTTAATGGCTTTTTCCCTTATTCAGCATCCTCCCTCCCACAGACATAAAGTAATTGATGAAAATGACGCTGCATTTCTTTCACGGTGAAGAAACAGGCCTGGTTGAGAAATGTATTTGCAGAGTGTAACACTGGCCATCCAGCTTACACGTTTGAATTATTCATATCATTGAATGTAAAAACCTAAGAGCTGGAAATAGATGCCAGAAATACTTGTGGGAAGAACAAATCTTCCATAAACGTGTGAGAGATGGAAATATTGTGAAGAACATCTCTGGGTCTAGATGCATGGAATTATAGAGCCTTTAAGTTGAAAGAAACCTCCATGATGCCTCTAATTCTCTTGCTAC